TAATGCAGCCGTCAGGGCAGAATTGGGGATCCAGTCCCTACGGTCGGGAGCAGACGCGCGAAAGCTGACATGGCACTATCGCATGTGCGGGATGGGAGAGGAGAGGTTGCCGAGGATTGTATGGGAGGCGAAGTGGGCAAACAAAAAGAGGGGTAGACAACCCACGGAATGGGTCAAGGTTGTAGAGGACGTATGGAAGGGGCTCGACATCGACGAAGATGAAACGCTGGAAACGGAGGGTCTACAGGGGTTCAAGGAGAAGATATCTGTTGCTTGTGCCGAGAGAGAAGAACAGAATCTGAGGAAAGAATCCAAGGATAAGGAGGGTCTAGAAGTGTACGGAATGTTGAAGGAAGGAATAGGGTTCAAGGACTACCTACATGGACCAATGGATGCAGGAACAAAGCTTAAGGTCAAATTCAGGACCGGGGACATAGGCCTTCGAGAACGTCGACGAAGACATAGGACGGTAGACGACGAAGACGACGAGTTCAAATGTGATTGCGGCTTCGAATGCGAAGACCGTGTTCATGTAGTCGCGGAATGTCCGTTGTACAAGAAGGAGAGGGAAGTGTACATGACTGAGCTGGGAAAAATAGATGGAACGTACAGGGAGATGTTTGAGGCATGGAATAGAGAGGAAAGGACGGTAGCTGTACTGGGGAGTAGGAAGTGGTTTGAAAAGGCGGGAAGGGATATCGTTAGGAGAGACAGACTGGGTAAGACATTTTTGAGCCACCTTTGGCAAAGTAGAAAGGAACGATTGGCCATCGGTGATCGGTCCTGTGGGAACAATGCTCCGTCGTCTCTCGAGAGGACGCGTGGTCAATGGTCCAACCGCTAATGCATCAAACCATAAGAGTACGCCTTCCCCCACCCACCCACCCTGCCGGCTCTGGCGCTGCCTAGCACATGTCGTGAACCACGACATACTGTCTGCTGTACGGGGTTGATGGCGCTCTCCGCCGCGCCTCCCGTGAGGACTTAACACGTTTGAGAAATGTAATTTAAGAAATTCAGCAGGATTCTGCTGCACGACAAAACAAGAAACTTGAAATAAGAATTGGACAACGTACCCAGAGTTTTCAGCCCACAAAAAGAATTTGAGGCTGGACCGCAAATTGGCGTGTTCCTAAACGCGGGCGCTAACTGTATGCATACCCCACACCATGAGAAACGTAGCGTATTCTAATTTGTAAAAAGCGCCGGTCAGGATTCCTTGCCTTGATGCCGCCGAGTGGAAGAGGTTCAACCCTCCTAGCACTGAAAGCCCAAATGGGGACACCTTGGGGACGCAGCACTCAAATGCCTATTACCGCACTGCTGTAGTCACCCTAGGCTCCGCTGTGTGCGCCGCACGTGAGAACCCCTGGTCTATCATGCCTGAGGTGGTACGCTGTGTGATATGCTGTGTGATGCCTCTCCTGGGGTCTCTGACTTGCTGTACACATCTTCCAACCCGCGTGCCCCTAGGTCGTAAAATTGCACATTGCGTGCTACTGGAAAAAGTGGATGACTTGGCTTAGGATGAAAAGTGTCCCCACGTGGTTGTGGGGACACTTTTCATACTGAAGCCAAGTCACCCTTTGCCTGGCAAAGAACTCAGATTCTTTGGAGGGACTGTAGCCCCTCGACCAACGGCGGTCAAACATTTTTGCGGCATTTTTTTTTTGCGGAGGGACTGGGTACTAGGAGGTTTAAGCATGGCGTTTGGTATTATCAGTTCAGATGAATGTCATTGGTTGACGGTAAGGCGGTACTCTCGCAGAAGCGCGGGCGACCGGCTTCTCTGTCTCCTTCAAAGAGCAAGTGAGCGAGTGGCACCAAAACGGTGCCACTCTTGTAGTGTCATTCTTCTCTTTTTTCCCATTGATTTCCGAACGTTGGTCCTTGCACGTTTTGGTGCATTGCTGGGCACACTAAACGGGGTCACACATGAGGAAGGCCGTGACGTCCGCGATTGGCATACCTGATCACGCAGCATTCACACCTATCGCCCGGCGCCCGCTGCTGGGGAAGAGATAAAACGTACGGATAGTTGTGTTCAAGCCAAGTTTTCATGGTGTGAATGATACAGCATGTCGAGAGCCAACGGCCGGCCATGTGCGAAGAAAGAGCCCATTAATGGTTGCATAGGGCAAGGCTGAGGATAAGGCTTGGACCCCTGGCACCACTTGCTGATGCTGAGCCTCACGTGTCCGCTGACTGGTACATTTTTGCGGCCTCCATTTGGTACAAGTCTCTCTGCCGTTTTTGGCGGTCATCTCACCTCGCGGCAGCGATTCCGCCGCAATCAAGTTACTGAATGGTTGCTCGACTTGGTGCCTGGGTCTTTCGACAATGCACGCAACATCCAAGAAAAAAACGTTGAGGGAAGGTGTTGGAAAGTCTCTAAGAGTTTACGTTGAGGGTTGAGGGAAACCTGTTGTATGTTGGAAACGCGCTTGGAACTCAGTCGCCGTGGTTGAAAGCCTGAGACTCGCATTATCGCGCCGCTTCGTCGTCGAGTACCTTGCGACGATACTAAAGGGTTGGTTTGAAGGTCTGCGCCAACTCGGCCAACACATCTCTGCGTCGCATTACACGTGTGTCCTCCCTGTTTCTTCTCTCCGGAAAGCTGCAGTTCGACCAAGCGAGGAACCTGTGACGAGATGGCGGCAAAGCGGCGTTGTCAGGAAGGAGAGTCTCAAGACGTGGCGTCAGCAGTTGTCCAAGGTCCGAATAGCATGGAAAACCTCCAACCAGGTAGGTGCCACGTTTAGTCTCTTCTTCTCCCTGCTTCTAGCCGATGTTCGAGAGCAACGTTCTCAATGTACTCTACGTCGAGAGCTACAGTTCCGCCGAAGGGTCACAATAGCTGGCAATATGATCAACCCCGGGGTAGCAAATCGTTATGGAGCGGGTAGGACGGTATCTTGAGTTTCCGTTAAGCACATCGACCAGCAACGGGGTTAATGTGTTGGGCCTTGGTGCAAGGTAGCAGACCAGCGTGAAGTCAGTCTCGCGACGTCTACGCCTTTATTGTGCCTCGTTTTCTTCACTTGCGTCACTTCTGCATTCTGGGGCGCATGGACAGCCACACACACGCGCTTGATCTCCGTAGTGTCTTCTTTCAATGTGAACTCGTGATTTGTTGGGGGATTGCGGGATGAGACCAGCCCATATCCCACCCAAACTAACCGGGTGGCAAATGACGGTGGTCCCCAATGAATCGCATGGAGGAGTCCTCCCCGATTTGATGGAAATCGAAGCAGAGTCAGCGACAATGGTGCATCGAAGAACTAAGGGCTTTGATCGTTGAGATCGTCAGAGCAATGGTGGTACTAGAGGGACTTCGAGAAAGAGTCGTAGGGGTGACCGCGATGAAGCTGATTTTTTTATTGTAGCAATCTTCCAGGCTCGACGCGAAGTCGGACAGAAAGCAACGAAGTACGGGGCTGATACAGCGTGGGAGAAATAAATATGCAACAATAACGAACTTGATGGCGTTGAGCATTCTCCTTGTACTTCAGGAGGAGGACGCTGCTGTCGTCCAAGTCCTGCGCCCCCCCGGTCGGTAGAACCCTTTTTTTCACATAAAGGTGTTCGCGTTTTTGTTCGCGCTATCACTGCCACCTTGTCATAAACCAGCCCAATAGCGCGGTCGATACTATTACTAGAGCAGTTTGTTGTTTACGCCCCCGGGGTGTCGAAGGGAAAACCCATTTTGTCGAACCCGGTTCTGTAGTTCATTGTATGTACTGCTCAGTTTTGGTTATAGAAAAGACATGAAACAACATATGGCGATGTCTTGAGTGAGACGGCAGCAGCCGTGGGGAAGAACAATGGAAGCGAAAGTGACAAGGCAGCAAAAAAAGTACCGTCGCAACATGCCGAATATCTTGATACCCTGCACGGACAGCAGTTTACATCATTTCACCTTGGTGAGAGACGAACTAACAATTAGGTATTGTCCGTCCAGAGCAATTTGTCCAATCACGTCTTGTGCGATAACTTTTTTTGCAAAAATAATTGAACCGTGCAACAACAACAGTCGTGACCGCCTCGTCGAGATACGTCGATAACCGCTGAGTTTTTTCGATTTTGCCGATATGCAACATTTTTTGACCAAAATGACCCACGGTGCCCCCTAAACACTACATACCCTCCCATTATCATCCACGGAGCGCCCTCCCCCTCCCCCCCAGATTCCCCCCTGCCCCTGTACAGAGACTGCTTTGTACACCACGGACACTACATGTTTCCATTTGTTCAGATTCCACGAAGAATGCCTTGAACACCCGGTAAATAAAGCAAGCTATAGTAACCAATACTGGTATATTTTAAAATATGTCGAACACCCGGTAAACAAACCCAGGCAACGGAAGAGGACATATATAACTATATATTGACGTGTGGTAACTTACATACGTACATATATATGTAGATAAGAGCCCTCGATGGGGACGGTTCCATGGTCTAGTCAACAAGGAGAACGCACCGTACATGCACCCCAAATGTCTTCAACACCGGTAAACCAATTCTGTCAAAATCAAAATCGATCTGCAGTAGCTACCTGCTTACCAAAAGGCTGTGGTGAGCAGAGTGTCACCAAGCCCGAATGTAGGGCACACCGTGTTCCCGTTGTCATCCTCGAACACCCTCAACGCTGCCTTCTCGCCACCCGGCGCCATGTTGATCTTGTGGGCCAACAACGCGTCTTCGCCGTAAGCGTCGTGCCGGTGGAGTTGTCGAAGATGAAGACACCCGGCCGGTGCGGGCCACTCGTCAGCTCGACCATGGCGATGATCGCCGGCAGTTGGGCGCACATGCGATCGCTCGTCCAGTAGCCGTCGTGCTGCTGCCCGACGATGACAGCTGCCGTCCAAGGGTCGTTCGCTGTCTTCAACACCGCGCAATCTGCATCAGCCGTCTTCAACACTTCCACCGCGCCTTGAACCTCCTTCACCTCGTGACCGTGTACCCCCTCGCCCTCCTTCCTGCCGAAGTACTTTCCGCAGCGCCCCGTGTCGGCATCCTTGTCCTCCTGCAACATGCCCCACGCCTCCTTGCTGATCTGCAGCTGGCCAAGGTCGATGCCGATCACGTCCGAGATGTGTGCGGCGCGGCCCTCCCCCTTGACTTTCATGGGGGCCCCTTTCTTCGTCGACACCCATTGGTGGTCCACATCGTCGTTTTCCTTCGCAGTGGTTTCGTCGTGGAAGTAAAGCGACAGCACCTGGTGATCAGGCAGCAGGCGGTGGTCACCCTTGCCGTCGGTGGCGGTGAGGTCGCGCTTGTCGAATGCCACCTGCGCGGAGTCGACGGCAGGCTTGCGCTTGCAGTCATCGCACTCACACGCCATGAAGTGCGAACATCTTCCCTTGTCCTTTCTCGTTTCGCACGGACACTGCTGGAGCCGTCGAACACGCACGCAATCCCTCCCGCGAGCGTGCGTGGGGTTGTGGACACGCACGTGCTTGTACTCCTCCTTGCCGTCGACCGTCCGCACTGCTGGCCAGAAAAGCTCCTCGCGTTTCACCTTCTTCGGTCGGTAGTACGCCTCCACGTCTTCATCAGGGAGCAGGCGGTAGTCGCCCTTGGAGTCGGACGCCGCCAGGTCGCGGGGGTCGAACGCGACACGCGTGCAGTCGCCTGACACGCGCTGCGACGTCTCGCCATCACTGTAGACACGCACGTGCTTGTAGTCGTTCTTGCCGTCGACTTCCCTGACTGCTGGCTAGAAGAGAGGTTCCCGACCCTTCGTCGCCGGAACGTCGATCTCGTCGACCTCGCCCGTCTCCGAGCTGGCCCTGCTGTCCCCCTCGTCGTCGCTGACGTCGGAGTCACCCGATGCTCCCTGCTGCCGAAGCACACCTCGACTGGTTGGTATAATGACCGTATGTTCGACGCGGATAGGGCTGCCAACGGGGTAAACGCGAAGTCAGCAGCAACAGAAGGATACCGCGGCGTTAGTACCGTGAGCAACAGCGATAATTCGCAGTATGGCGTATGACGGAAGGGGGGAAAAAGGCATGCGCATCACCCTTGACAAACTGAAAAGGGACAAACACACACACACACACGCAGACCCCCCCCCCCCCCCCCCCCCCCCCCCCCCCCCCCCCCCCCCCCCCCCCCCNCCCCCCCCCCCCCCCAATCCGACTGTTTTCGGCAAAGCGGCAATGATGAACCACAACAACACAAGACGTAATGTGCTGGGTGTGGAGGGAGGGAGCGCCGCGGGCATCAGGCGGACAAGTACGAGTGGTAGCCGCATGTGTCACTCCACGACGCGCCACCAGAAAAACGAAAAAACGCAACAGTGTCGAAGTCTTCGGTCCCACGCGAAAAAAAAACGAGGCAGGGACTGCTTGCCGATTACTGTACTCTCGATTCCTGTCACTCACATGGACATTTCCTTGCGCCGGCCCAGTAGGTACGCCACAAATCCCCGGCGGTCGTTGACGATGTCCGGTCTGTCGTGGCCGTCGACGTACACGCTCTTGTGATGCCTCGACTACCGAAAGCCAAGCCTATGCATCCACTTGTGCACCGTCCTCCGAGAAACTCCTTTCGTACCGGCGAGCTCATCCTTCAGAAGCTCTTCATTGATCCACCTGTTTCAAAATGGTGACGGCAGGATGAGTGCTTGCAACAAAGACCACCAGAACAATCGAAACAACTTGCAACGTGTGGCAGGCAGGGAACAGTTTATTTGCAATATCTGAGACAGATGCTCCCCACAAAAAGCTGACGTGAGGTGGGACCGATCACCCGCCAATTGAGAAAACTACTAAATACAGCAAACACAAAACTCGATTACAAAGACAGGGACGAAGGTTGTTTCCGACGACCGCGTCCCGTGCACACAAATTGTGGGGGAGGGGGGTCGGGTGGGGGGGTGGTGGGGGATCAAAGCCGGAGGGGGCTAGCGTTACTGGTACTCTAGATAGAAAAACGCATCGCAGTACAGCAGTAGGAGCGTCTGCCTCAAACCGTATACGCCTCCTCGCAACGAAAACATGTTGGCGTGCGTGCCTACCTCTACCAACGACTGATATGCTCCTTCCGCTTCCCATACTTCCAACCACCCTCAGTTTATCACGTCTGCGATGCGACGGCGCGGCTCGTCCTTCTTCCGCCGATACAGCTTGCGATCGATGTACTCCCTTACGTGGTTGCGCTTGTCCTCGTCTTCGATAAAGGAGTGCGGCTCCCGCTTGTTGTACTGCCGTTTGGGGACAACGAAGGCGCCGCCCTCGCGAAATTCCTTCACCCACCGCCGCACTGTCTTCGATTGGACCTTGGCGACTTCGACTGCGGCTCTACTGTGGTCCTTTTTCGCCACACCTTCTTGGATTCTGTCGAACGGCAGTACAGCAGTAATTTGTCCTACGGCAGTTTTTTGTCCGACAACAACAACATGCAGCGCCCGTGATACACTGAAAAAAGCAGCCTCGCTCCAACGAATGAATGACCGGAAGACAGATTAAGCCAGCACTACACGTTCCCCGCCAACACTTACTCGAGGTGTACGAAGTGCTTCACTGCGTGGATGACTTTGGTGGTGTGAACCAACTGTGATCTGTCCAGCATCGTCTTCGGGTCCGCCACCACTGAATCGTAGCTGCGACTGTGTTCAGCCTGTGACGAGGAAACACACGTGCGGCTTCCAGAGCATTGCCGTCAGCAATTTTTTCTGCGATCTTGTCTGAACAGCGATGTCGAGGTCGAAAAAAGAAACGTGGAGCTCGTGGCACACAAATGCCGCCGGAATAAGCGAAGCGGCTGGCAACATTGGCGGTGGCGCCCCGTGGGTAGTGACGGCCGTGTTAAGAGCAGGCGGTAAGACTGTATATGACGCAGATAAAAAACAAGAATCAACGGTGTTTCGCCTTCCGTGATAAGCTCTGATCAGGTACTGCGCTGAAACACATGTGCAGGAAGCACAAACAACAACAGCAGTGCCGCTGCCCACAAAACGCCGCTGCCATTGTGGTTGCAACTAAACCATAAAATACCTCACCTTCTGGAGCTTGTCGTAGGCATCGCGGTACGTTTGCATCAGCTCCGCCTTTCGCCTCGTCCAGTGCTTGCGCGCTCGGCCCCTCGCCCGATCCAGCTGCGTTTTCGTCCATGTCTTCCGCTCCGACGCCGGCGCCTTCCGCTTGGCGACGCGATAGTTTTTGTTCATGCTGTACTGTGCCGCAACGAGATTTGATTTCTCGCAGACCTCCCCCGGCATCAGTCTTGTTCCCCCTCCCTGTCCCACCTTTGTAGTTGCCAGCCGTGTTGTGGTATGGGCGCGTGGGTGCAGTAAACACACCGTCGAAACGACCCTCTCGGGTGCTTCGGCGGGAGGGCCCTGGCGGGGGATGCTCTGGGGCTGCGGGCACTCCAGAACGACGCATACTGTCACCGACCTCACCGTTCTCCCCCGCCCCCTGCCGAACGTCTACTGCCTCTTTGTCAAGAGGTGTGGGGCATCCACCCCTCTCGATAGAGCTGCAGCCATCGCTGCTCCTGCTGCTCCAGCTGCTGCTGCTGCTGAAATCCAAACCGTCAAGAAAACCGTCCGATGAGGTATCGCAGTTGTCCTCCAGCACTTCCTCGGCGTCCCTCATCTCTTGACCACTGCAAAACTCCTCGATCAAAAGCCCATGACCCGAAGCTATCGACATGTCGCCGACGCTGCTACAGCTACTGCTGGCCTCCAAATCTCCGCTGTCGGCACAAATGCTGCCGCCGCCCGGAGAACCGGCGTGCGGCGCAACCTCCAAATCCACCGCTGGGTTCTCTACTGGACCAACCTCCCCACCGACAGAGGAGCTCTCCTCCTCTTCCTTCTGCTCCTTCTCCCGCCGCGCCCTCTGCATCCACGCTCCCATGGTTCGTGCCAACCCCGCTGCTTTTTCTTGGTACGATATTTTTGGCTCGCGGACAGCGTCGGGGGCCGAGCAGATTTACGCGGCGAATTTTTTTGTGCCGTGTTTCGTGCCGCGCGAGCTGCGGACTCCATCGTCTTCTGTGCGAATCGCAGTATCGACTGACCTCCACCACTGCTGTGTGCGCCGCTGGGATCCTCTTCGCACCAGTCCTCGTCGTTGACGTCCTCGTCTGCAGCCGCCTTCTTTTCCTCCGCATCCACATCCATCAACTCCACGCCATCGTCGCCGTCGGAGAGCGCATCACCAGAGCCGGGTGGAAGTTCATGTTGCAGCGCCAGCTTCGGTTTCTTGGAAACCGCCCGGCCATCGGGTCCGCGCTTGCCGAACTTCTTCCTTGCCCGTCCCTTGGGTTTCCCCATGGTGCTTGCGTGCGTGTTGTGTGTTCTTTGGGTCACCACGTGTGCGATTGGTTATGTGTGCGTGCGTCGCCAGCGGAAAAAAAAATCTTGCATGGCTTCGCCCAACTCGGCACAACAAAATGTGGAATATCTCGAGAACCAGATTTTTCCCAGCAAAACCCAAAAATACCAGCCTAGATATTGACTAGAGGAAACGTTTGCCGCAGTCTATTTTGAAATCGGTTGGTTGGTTATGTCGTATGAAACAAAACAAGTTGGTGCTCTATATCAGGTTTTGGGCGATATTCACGAAAATTCCGTTGGAAAAAATGCGGCGAGATGATCTGTTTTTGGTCGGACACGTCAACATCAATCCGCGGCACCACGCAGCAGAAGAGCAACAGGGCCTCCGACACGCTTATAATTTCGGATTGGTCATCGATATGATGCTGGCCGTCAGCGGCTGCCGCCCTATGATTGTTGAGCTCGTCTTCCTTTGGGCAGTTGGTGGTCAAAGATGGGAGGCGCAACTGTGAAAAATGAGCTGGCAAACTGAAGAACTCCCAAGCAACACCCAGGTTGCGACAATCTGCCCTGCGCCTGTTGTTGCTGAAATCTGAAAACAGCAGGCCGGGTGGATTTGATCTTTTTAAGTGTGTTGTCCTCTGTGTCGGGTGCTGCTCATTGCGCTTTTACCGCTGCTCTATGGTGAGCAACACTATGTCAACCTGTTGTGTGCCGAGCAAAGCGTCTATTCAGGGAAGGAAACGCACTTTTTGCGATGACATCACGATTAGTACAAGCGAAAAAAAGTCGGGTTTTCTTTTCACCGTTCCGTTGAAAATTGCACGACTTTTCCGAAGCGTTAATAACAAGCCTAATGCAGTGTTGCACGGCAGGAAAAAAAAACATGGCGAAAGAACAAAAACACAGAAGAGCAGCGCGACTGGCGTACATCCACCCAAGGCCAATGGCCCACAGCACTAGACTATTCCAATACCAAACTGTCTTGTTGACGCTGTTACACACGGGGGAGATCTCAATGTGTACTGCTCGGGAAAGTGGAAAAACACAATTTTCGCTGATGCGATGGATTCATTGCTAATCTAACTTGGACGCTTTTCTGATATTGTGTAGAGATGGATTCGTTGGGTCATAATGGTAAGCAAAGAAAATAGTTATCGAGGGAGGCAAGATTGCCAAATTCCGCCCACTGTAGGCGTTAAACTTGTGTGCGCAACCCGTAGCGCCTCCGGAAAAAATGTGAGACGACTCGTACAATGTCCATGCCGCACTGCTGTGCGCCCCGCCAAAGCGACCAAGCACGAGCACGTGCCCACCGTGGGACCAATCGCCATCAACAAATATGAGGAACGACGAACTGAACGCCAAGAGTTTAAACTTGATTGGTGTAAAGATCGAGATATGGCACGGATGACGTTTAAAACTTGCGTTCGCATACTGGCACCATGCTTATGCCCTGCCATGCTGCCTGCAATACCGAGCGTGGATCATATGAGCTGCTGATGTGGTTGTACAGCACTTGGAAGTGTGCTGCAAGACGAACCACAGGTGGAGTAATCTTGAATGGCGTCAGCTAGGTTTGAATTGAAATTGCTCTGGGGTGCTCCCTTCTCCTGCTGCTGTGTTGCACCGCACACGCTTCTGCCTGTTGACCCGGGACCCTCACCCAGCAGCACAACTCTCCTGGCTAGGGTTAGAAGAAACATACAAAGGATGAAAGTAGCGAGAGTAACACGGCAGCGGTACTGTTAGTGAGTTTGGTCACTTAACACGCATGGGTATCTGAGGTCGCACGCAGGCAACGACTGGCCTGTACTTGAAAGTAATTTTCTCAAAGAGTGAATACGCACGAGTACTGGGTGTGTAGAAATCGCGAGGAGATACTTACACGCGAACACTGCACGCACCGCCGGGCCCCCCGAGTTGCCCAAATCCATGACCAAGGGCTGCTGTTCTTGCCGCGCAAGATTAGTGACTCAGATTAGCTGCGCCAGAGGTCAAGCTGGAGCAAGCACGTACGTTATGAGCATTAACACTTCGACCCTCTCTGCGACAATGGCACGAGCAAGCAAGAGAGCGAGCAGCAGCCGCCTCTGACGTTGGTCGTCAACCTGGCTCAGGAAATCACTGCGTTCACTATTTGCATGAAACAAGCTCCTCGAGGCGTGAACACCTACTACAAACCCACTGATGTGCCAGCACCAAGATGATCTAAAAGTTCGTCACAAAACATCATCCCGAACAGCATGACACAGCAAAGTAGGTACAAACGACACCGAACCTACGCGCCCTCGTCCCGATAGGTTCCAGGCAGTTTTCCGATAATACAACATGCAAGAGAATAACATGCCAATAAACCACGGACATCCAGCGTGGCTGAAAAAAAAGAAGCCCCACCCCGTCCGACTCCATGTGCACCCAGGTACGAAAATTGACCGAAAACGCGCATTCTAGCCGGCTGTTCAGCGTACGCCTTCTGCTCGTACGTCTGATAATCTGCCGTCCAGAGTCATCGTCTTGGCCGGATGATCCGACCGAACGCAACTGAAGAGTGGACCTGTTGAACCACCAAGAAAGACCCGCAATGTTTGGCATTTGAATGTGGGTTGGAATACATCAGACCCGCGCACCCTCAGAGGTTAGAACGAAGGCAGCGCCGGTTTTAGATCTTTCGTTAAGATGCGGAGATTTGACGCGCAAGAATGCCCTCACGATAACCCCAACCCCAAGCCAAGTCCCTCTAGGAACATGCACCTGCCCGCAGAAGTAGCCAGATCTCAGTCCCAGACGTCGTCAACGAGATCCGCAACACCATCATCTGTGTCTCCGCCACTCCACACCGGGTCGACGCCCTTCTCGCGCAACCCGTCAGATTTCTCACCGCTGGAGCCAGCTTTGCCCGAATTTCACCTGATCAAATCGTCGAGTGCACGTGCATATCCCTGCTTCCGGTGTAACCGGGCTCACAGGCTAGTTCCGAGGCGACGCCGGTGCGTACGTACCCGGTTGAGTAAAGGGCTGCTGACGCCACAAGCCCGTTGGCCCCGCCTACCTCCCACGGTTCGTCTGGCAGCAGTTCGACCTATGCCGACCGCTATTCCATACATTGAATACCCGACCAGGATACACCACCAAAATCATGAGCACGCAGCTCACGCAGGCTCACACCTATTGGTGGTCTGGGCTCGCGCCTATTCATGGTCTGGGCTCATCGTTTTCTCTTGACAGCTACACGAAAGAGCTGTCCTCTTTACGGGCATGCTTGTACACCTGAGAACGTGACGGCCTAACACCTGCTTGATGACGTATATGTCTGACTCTGCAATGCTGCGGCGTTAAACTCTTTATGCACGGTCTGGAGGGCACGAAGCTGAGCGCCCCGGGTCATGTTTGGCTCGTATATTGGCAAAGCACGGAGCTTAACTTGAACTTGAAGGCAGTCGTACTTGCCCTATTGAAGCCCAAATCAACTGAAGCTTGTTGTGATAGCCTCGCCTTGAGCTGGCGTAATTGTATCCGGCATTTCCATTGTATCTTGGGGGATGGTGTATCCAGTAGTTGTATGTGCGCAACATGCAAGAGGGTGCGTTTGGACCCGACGCGTGGGCTTTGCTGAAAATTGAGTTTTGAACACACCATGCTTATCCCCTGCCTCACCTAATCGCCCCAAAAGTTCTGCATTTGGTGGCAATATAACCTAGGTATATGTCGCCAGCATAATTAGCCTGCAAGACACCAACCTCGCGTAAAGATCTGTTCGAGTGTTGCGCTCGCTCCCTGATGTTGCAGCTGCTGCATGGCTGTAAGATCTGGCTAAAGTTCAACACTGTCACCCTACCGTGTTTAACTGGACGTGTAAGATATGCCCTGGTATGCCCTGGCATGGTGCTTACACAGCTGTCTTGCATACGGGACAGTCCAGCCTCTCGTTCGCCCTCTAGAGCTGGTGCTAGGCGTCGAGGTCTGTTTGCCGAGCGAGCCGCCTGATCAGAGCGGTTTCCGCACGGCGCTGCTTTCCAGTTGGAAGTTTTTTGCTCATACTTCCTTTTGTTCTTTCCAGCCGTGCAGCAGTGGATTGTGAGCCCTGCTTGTTACACACATGCACGTGTTCGTAGTGGTTGCGGTACAGTCAAGATTGCTTGGTCTCAGAAGGAGGCCGACGCTTAAGGTCAGCGAGAACTGGCCCGAACGAATTTTCTCCATGTAAGTGTCACACGGCACCGAAGCAGCGGCCCCGAGGCATACGGACGACATCGAACAGTGGTGCACGGACAACAAATAGGCTAATTCTTAAGCACTGAATTTTTCGGATATTCTAATTTGCTCTCGCTGGGGGAGCGGGGTACTGATAGTTTGCACGGGAAAAATTATCCAGATCCAAGCGACGTTGCGGTTCCTTGAGGCATATTCTGTTCTCAGGGGAAAAAAGTGTAGTTTCGGTGTACATACGAAAACAAACTACAGCATGGGTAATGTGTTCGTGTAGCGTGAGCTATGGCACCGGTATGTGCTGTGCGGACTGGGGTTGCTGTTTATCTGTGTTGTATTAGCTCGTGAGAGAGGAGAGGGAGAGAGGCGAAGGAGGCGGAGGAGTGCCCCAAGACTTCGACAGACAACGGGGACTCCGCACTATCATCCAAAGGCCTCTTTCCGCACACCCTTCAGGAACATCCTAAGTGCGTCGTACGTAACGGCTACCTCTGACCAATCTACTTCAACGCACAAACACTCTCCCTGGTTCGTTACGCCAGTCAAGCACACTGGTGCGTCGAAACAACGCCGAAAAGGTGCCCAAAACACGGCGAAAATACAAAAAAAAAAAACGGAGAAACGTGGCCACCGGATCAAAACCCCTCTTGAATCCAACGCCTCAACGCCTCAAACAAAATATGAAAGACCGTCCATACCACCAATGATTCCAACGGCCGTACTGCATCAGCAAAGCAAGATGAACAATTCCAAACATGCGCATTATGTAATCGCAACACTCTACAACTTCGACCAACGCTTCTGACAAAATCCTTCTTGCATGATCGAACAAAGGCCTTGTGCAGCACCAAAAACAAATCGACCACACGTCCCCACCCCTTTGGCGAGGTTGTGCGACAAACTTGGCCAAAATAACCAACAGACACCTGATATGCTCTCTGCTGTCTGCATTCCAAACGAAAGTACGCCTTATGCCCTCCCTAGCGTAGAAGGCAACCTTGTTGTTGGGGAAAACCTCACATGTCCTCTCTGGTGCGCCAGTCAACGCGCGCTCTATACCCTCCCTTGGGGGGGGGGGGG